GCTAGTTTTTGAAAGTTAAACTTAGTTTTACCTACTAATTGAAAATATTTTTTCTTTTTAAAGGTGAAATATGTTCCTTTTTTAAAAGTGCAGGTATAAAAGAGTGAAAAGAAAAATGTAAAAATGTCTTCAAATCTCAGCATTTATTTGGTTTTGTTTCTTTATTTGTTTATTTGGTACTGGGGATCTGACTCGGGTACTTGTGCTTGCAAGGCAGGCAGGGGAACCACTGAGCTAAATCTCCAGCCCAAATCTCAGTATTTAGACATAAACTTTGTACCCTTTTTTTCTTAATCATCTTGAGATTGTGTAGTGTTAACATACTGGAAATTGGATAAAGAAGTTTATGGAATTGTCTGCTGTTTGTGCAGCCTTTTGTAAGTCTGAAAAAAATGTGTGGTACTGACATACAAATAGATCCATGAATAAGTTGAGACCATGAAATAATTCAAATATGTGATGATATTCATATATGAAGAATACAAATCAGGAAAACACCTATCCAGTTAAATGATGGTGGTATGAAAGGCCCTTTGGTAAAAACTCTGGGGTTCCTCTCTTATATATTATGCCTAAGTAAACTTCATATGGATTAAATTTTTTTTAAAATAAACACAAAATAATAAAATCATGGGTAGCAATTTACCTAGCTTCCCTGTTCCTCAAGTTTCTTGCTTTCTAAGTGGGAATAAGACCACTTGATTCATAGTGTTATTGAGCACTTGACCCTTGTGTGAAAAAATCTAGTGCCATGTTTGGTATACGTAATAATGATGACAATAACGGCTGAAATATATTGGGTATTTAGATGCACCATGTATTGTGAAAATCTTTCAAATACATCATCTCATACAATCCTTCTAAGAACTTTTCTGATACTGTTATCCTCACTTCATGGAGACCCTGAAATGTAGAAAGTTTTAGTAACTTGACCAGCAAGTAGGAAGTGGTAGAGGTGGGATTTGGCAAGATCCAAGATTCACCCTTGCAACATTAACACTGTACCATTATGACTGTCAACAACAGCTTAATTCTCTTTTCACTGAGTCGTGGTGTTACTTAATCTTGTTATTTTCAGGTTCATCTCAGAAGGTCTATGACTTAAACACCTCAAAAGAATGTGGTTACTGGTGTAGATGTGAGATTTCCATATGAATTTATACACACATATACTATATATATGAACATAAATTTTATATACATACACATATGTGTATGCTTACCTGGAGGAGAGAGATGTTACCTGCTAGAACAAGATTCTGTACATAGTTTTAAGTATTGCATATTTGACCCTTGAACTGACTTTGAGGGCTGGCTGTCTATTTGAGCCCAAGGTTACTTTATGGAATGGTTAAGAACATTATCTCCAGTTTTTCCTTTGACAGTCTTAGGATCAGTTCCCATCAGTTTCTTTCTTGCTTTTTTTTTTTTTTTTTTTTTTTAACCTAAGACCAAATTCTGCTCACATTAAGTGACCTCAGAAACTTCCTAATATGTTGTAAAAGTCTTTGCAGGCAGGGATTGAATCCTTTTATCTTTCCAAACCTAGCACAGTACTTGGATTCTTACCTTGAATGTTGTAAGAGCTTAACAAATTAAACATGAGACCACTAGATAGCATGTGTCTTATTGAGCTTCAGCAGCAGTAGCTGAAAAGTTCCCAAAATCTGGGCTTGATCTTAGTTAATGTGGTTTCAGAGAGGGTTTTTGTCAGGATAATATAAAATTTTAATTAAATGAAAATAGCAGTTTATTTCCCTTTTCCTAATAGCCCCACATAAAATGCCATTTATTAAATGTATAAACAATTCTGGCTTTCTTAAAGTATCATAACCAAGACATAGTACATAGTTTTAAAATTATTTTTATTTCATATAGGGCTTGCTTAGTTATTGTTTCTAGTTGTTAGGCATTAAGAATTTTTGAGTGAGGAACAAAGTTATGAAATAGAGGTGCAAACATGGAAGTAGAGACCATAAGAGTTTGAATAAGTTAATAGTGTTCTATGAAGCCCACTGTCATTTTGCCCTTACTTCATTTAGTAACTACACTATTTCGATCAATATTTTTATTTATTTATTTATTCATTCATTCATTTATTTTTTTTTGGTACTGGGGATTTAACTCAGGTCCTTGCTTTTGTGAGGCAGGCACAATGCCATTGAGCTAAATCCCTGTCCTCCACCAATATTTCAAATAGAGCCTATAATTCAATGAAACTTTTTGCGTTCCTACATTAAATCATTTTAGGACATTAGAAGTAGGAGTTAGCAAATCATTGCTACACATTTGATCTTGGCCAAAAGGCCAAGTGAGAAGTGATAGCAAGTCATTGCTAAAGAGAACCAAATAATAAGCTAATAAGGATAAGAGGAACTTACTGAAAAGCCCAAATATAAAAACAAGTAGCTCATGTATTAGGATGTCATAATGCAGCATTTGACCTTTCTGTATCCTACTAACTCAGGTCCTGGGTCTTCTTCACACAGGACCACTTTAAACACATTTTCCTTTGTGAAAATTAGAGACTTAATCCTTATTCCTGAGTAAAAATTTTGAGTATATTGACAACTAGAACAGTCTTGGATCCAGTCCTGAAAAAGGGTCTCTTTGGACCTTGTTTGTTGATTTTGAGCTGTACCCTTGTAAGGTGGGGAAAGGTGGAGTGATAAATCAGACATCGCTAGCTCTGGGACTTAATAGCATCTAGTTTCAACTCACCTAAATTGTGGCTTCTTAACCAAATTTTACTTTTAGATTAGTAACCAGGGCATGTACATTCTATTAGGAATCACACAAACGTGCTGCTGAGAGGGCATACCTTGGTTCAGCCTGGCTCTGAGATCAGGAGCAAGCTGGTGTATACTCACATGTGGCCCAGTTTTCAAGGGTTCACATATTTACATATGCCTCTCTACTACCACCCCCAGTAGTCTATCCTGCTTGGTGTAGAAACTGAACCACTCAGAATTGGATCTTCGGCAGCCTATGAGGTGTACTCAGATGTGCCTTTGAGTGTGTACATGGCCTGCCTCTTCAGTAATGGATGCCAGTGTAGATGTACATGACAGACCTTTCCTATTGCTTTAGGTTTCAGCAGGGAAACTCAGTATCTCCTTTCCTGCCATCATATACATTCTCATGTCCACTTTGTGGGTGTTATAATCCCCTCCCCAGCTATTTTGATCTTGTGTTATGCTTGATTCACTTTAGAAGTGCATGGCATTCTGTGAAGTACTTAATTCAATGTTTCTATATTTAAATGAGCACTTTAATGTCTAAAATAGAAACTTGGGCTTTTTTCATTTATATTTTCCACATTTTACATAATGTTTGTACTCCTTTATACTTCAAGGTTTTTCCTAAATGGAATGTCATTTTAATATTTAGACCATATATTATAAGGTATAAAAACATACTAGTTATCTGTCCTCACATACTGTTTAGAAGTATGCAGTTCCCTGAATCTCTGAACAAAAAGTAGTTTATGTGCTCCCTTAGTCTGAGTCCTCCTGAGACTTGCTAACATAAGCTGGAACATAGAAAGTTCTTACATCACTAGCACCCCCAGAGTCTCAGTCTGGAGAGATCTCAGTCTCCCACCAAAATACAGATCCCAATATAAGTTAATCTAGTTTCAATTCACCTAAAATGTATTAGGCTGGGTTGGAAAGATTAATCTAACTAATTTAAGAAACATCTTTTAGTTTCATAAATTCACATTGAAAAATGTAATTCACTATGAAGTTTACATAGCCTTTTATTTTTGCATTTTGTATTTTGGAGCATTTCAAACTTAACAATTAGAAGGGGATAATGAATATTTGCATATCATTGCCTGGTTTCAATATTTATTAATATTTTGTCAATTGTGTTTTATTCAAAGTTTTCCTTCTCTTTTCCTTAGCTCCATAGTATTTTAACATAAATTTCAAACATGTCAATCCATCTGTAAATATTCACACTTATTTCTGTCTTGTAAGGCCTTTTTTAACCATAATATTCATGCCACATTATACCTATAAAATTTATTTCCTAATAGCTAGTACTTGCCCATCTTTACATTTTCCTAATTGTCTCAAAAATATCTTTTTACCAATTAGCTGTTCAAATGATAATTCATGTAAGGTTCATGTATTGTGTTTGGCTGTTTATCCCTCTTGGGTCTCTTTTCTATATAAATATTTATATATTTTTCTTTAGATTTGGTTGTAATTCATCAAGGAGGTTTAAAGGGAAACATTGATAACAAAATGAATGCCTTAGGCTTTGTCTTTAAATCATTAATTTGTACATTCGCTACATTTTCAAATACATAAATATTTAATGCTGAAATGCGAAAGGCTAGAAAAACTAGAGGAAAAAAGATTTTCCATTTGAGATTCAAAAACAGTCATCAATTAATTTTATTACTCAAGGGTAGAAACCAAATGTAGACATTTTGCCCCCATCCTGTTTGAGTTCGAGTATGTCCATATTAAATTACATTTTAATAATACTATACTATAATTTGACCTAACCAAAACATCACTTTATGAATATAAAATTTGTAAATAATGAGGTCTTTGCTTCTGAGATTTTATCTTTTTGTCTTTCACATTTTGGATATGTGCTTCTGTATAATAAATTCAAATGAAACAATACTTTCTTACCAAACATGAGTACTTATATTTCTCTACTGTTAGCAACTAATATACCTAAATGGCATGTTCATTTGATAGTATTGCCTTAAGTTCAGTCTAATGGCTGAGAAGTATTTTCCTTTGTAAAATAGTTGAACTAAATATTTACTTCATTCTTAATGCTTATTTTTCCATTCTAGCAAGTTGGTGCATGATTTTCTTTCAACATGGGTAGGAGTACAGAAAAGAACTTATACTGCCACTACAGTTTTAACACTACCATCCTCAATTTAAATTGTGCAGTGCTGCTAAAATGCCTCAAGATTTTACCATTTCTTTTTATAAACTCTCAGTCTTATGATATCTTTCCCTTCTTAGGACATGAGCGAGTCTGCCAAACAAGAAGATATTTTGGAATCTACGACAGATGCTGCAGAATGGAGTCTAGAAGTTGAACGTGTACTACCACAGCTGAAAGTCACGATTAGGACTGACAATAAGGTATCAAAAAGAAAACACATTTTGTTTAAAAAAAATTTTTGAAGGCAGTTTTAGAGTGGGTGTACTCCACATAACACAAATTGGAGAAGGGTGGTAGGGTTCAGTTTCCAGTGTGTTGTTTTAGATATTTTTTAAATTGTTAAATGAATAAATACTGTATTACAGCCCAAAAAGTAAAAAATTTCTTTGAAAGAATGGTTTGGAACACATCATGTTTCATTAGGATATTTCTTCAATATGTTTCAATATATTTTCTTGGAAATCATACTTTCTTGAAGTAAATAAGAATTCCATGACTATACCACCTGATTAGAGTTAAAAGATGGCTTAGAACTCTGCTGAATAGCAAATCAAAAGCAACAGGTTGCCTTAATCTATTCAGTACATATGACCAAAAGTTACATATGAAGAAGACAATCAAGAAACTATATTTTTTTAAAACAAGAAACCATATGTAGTAGGATTTAGGGATTAAGCCAAATGAGCTTACTATTGTATCAAGTTTCTGCTTTCATTTTCACTTATATTTGTATAAATAATGATTTAGGACAAGCCAATAGGGGACTAGACAATGCTGTTCTCATTAGCAGAATAATAACCTCTACAAAGATTTTTTAAAATTAAAGCAGAGTATTCTTATTCTTAGAGGATGAACATAAACCCCTGGAATTGTGGGAACAAGATTCTACAGAAGCTCAGCACTCTGAAGAATGTGTTCTGTCTTTCCTGCATGATTACTAGTTTCAGAGTATCTTGGGAGCTAATTCATTCCTAGAATGTATTCCAGAGAAGGCAAGAAGTAGCCTGTGCTAGAACAGTGTGAAAATACAAGGAGGAAAGGGTTGTTAGTAGAGTATAAACAACTATGCAACAAATTCTATCCAAGATAAGTGGACAAATCCTGCAGCCTGTTTACTATATATCTACCCAGTCATTATGGAGAAAACAGCTATTATTTAACTATTTTGGAGATAAATTCATTTTTAATATCTCATATGTGAATACATATTAATATATGAAAGATCTCTGCGAGAAGTTTTAATTTCCAAAAAAGTGATTGTTTTGCAAAAAATATAATTTCTAAGTCTTTGTTTTTGCCAGAGCAAATTCTGTTTATAAAATTTAAAATCACTATTACTATGGTTCTTGTTAGAACAACCTGTTAAAATAATTCTGTAGTTGGGAACTCTGGAGCACAGTTTAGTCTCAGAAGGAAGCAAGTATAACTTGTTTACTTGTTACTAGATAACCTGTTGAATTCAAACATCTCATTTAGAGCCTAATAGGGAAATTTTTGGTTTCTATTTTAGGACAATCATTTATTTCCTCATAACAAAATAACTTAAGAAAGGCTATACATATAATTGAAAGCATATACTGAACAGTTTTACAAAGCTATATACAAATCAAATTTTGTAATAGACCTGTATTGCAGCATTCAAAATTCTGAGTTTGTGGAGAAACAGTGTTCTGATTTGGGAAAGAATTAACTAATTGAAAATATGACTCATTCTCATTCCATGGTTTAATCTTGTGAGGATATACTATTCCAAAGAAATTACACAATCAAGTTTATGGCAGCATTCCAAAATATCAGAAAATGTTCTTTCTTTCGGTATTTTTTAGAATATTCAGATATCATTTTGAATTTAGATTTTTATGGTAAAACACTGATCTAAAGTCATAACTTTAAGAATTCTTCTCTAGGCAATTTTTAGTCTTTTTCAAGGATTTTGCAAACTTTTTCTAAGCCTTTCAGATGAGAAGTGAGACTTTATTGTCCATTCGTTATTTGGCTTACTTAAAGAAAATAAAATACATTTGCTTGAAAAAATGAGGGGGTAATGAATAGAGAAATAAAAATAAAATGAGGCTCCATATGAGGCTATTTCTCATAGACTTATGTTATAATCAGAAGCCAACTCTACGCTATGGTAAACCCCATCCTACCTCAGCTCCTGACTATTAAAATCACAACCTCTCCTTTACTTTTGGCCAACACAATGATCTTTATAATGGCCACTGTATAGAATATTTAGAAATTTCCACTTTGTGTTTAAGAGGAAAAAAATAAATTAATTATTTTGGGATCATTGCTTATGTTTTGCTGGTCACCATTGGATTATACTTTTAAATAGTTTACAGGTTGTGAGAAATAAGCAATAAAGGTCCTCATTATTTAAATCCATTATGAATTTCTTTAAAATGGTTTTTCATGAGTAGTAAATAATCCCATACTTATGTGGCATTGAATCGAATACTTGTTTTGCTTTTTTCTCTCACCAGCTCAATTTATTCCTTCAGTGCTTCCTAACAGGGAATTACCAAAAAAGGAAAATTTTCTTTTGTTATTCTTTTTTAATTATTTTTAATTATTATAATATGTGTGCTTTGATAAGATCCTATCATATATCAATATTTTATTTTGTATATTCTCCATAATGTTGCAGTCAAGTTTTTATTACTAAACTAGCTTAGCTCTATTGTCTGGCACCATTTGCTTCTGTTGCCAATGTTTAAAGAATCTAAACTAATTTTAATATTAGCTTAAACAAAATAGAGAGGCAAGTATGTTGCCAAAAATACAAATAATATTCTACACAACTGAAGATAAAAGGGTTTTTGTTGTATGCTGATTTCAATGGACTACATTAGTAATTCCCTTTGTAGTGTTGGTTATAAAGAATGCTCCCGTTGATTACTTCTAGGGTAATTGTATACCCAGAGACCAACTCAGTTCTGTCCCAAATTAGGATAATATGTCTGAAGACACAGAAGTTCTACCCAGAGAGTCAGTATACAATGAGACTCTGGTAATGCCTGTGTTATGACCAGATGGACGAGACTCAGCAGTTCCTTAGTCTGAGAGTACTTGAACCAAAATCCACATTGGTGCTCCCAAACACCATCTAAGAGGATTGTTGGCGTACTATAATTCTAAATTTTGTCTTTTCTGTCCCACCTTCTCTGTATTTTTTCTCATTTCTTTTATTCTTTTCTCAGTTTTTATTATTTTTCAAAAATTATTCTTTAAAACATACAGTAGTGCCTCACAATTTCTCTCGTATATTTAAAGCTAAACTACAGCAAATAACATCTGTAATTAGACTGGGCTTAGACCCACAACTGGTTAAGAATATCTAAACTCTGAATCTTTAAAATACAATTTTGCCATTAATTATAAAAAAAAATGTATAACCAGTGTTTCAAGGAGAAAAGAGCAGGCAATATGCTGTGAATTAAAAGGTAGTGAATACCTATTGGTCTGTTCTGAGTCTCTTATTTATTGAGCCTACCCCACGTACCTTCACTTGACCCCAAGTTAGGAGAGAAAAGCAGGCAATATGCTGTGAATTAAAAGGTAGTGAATACCTATTGGTCTGTTCTGAGTCTCTTATTTATTGAGCCTACCCCACGTACCTTCACTTGACCCCAAGTTCATTCTCACACAAGTTGTTTACTGTGTGACTTACTGCAAGTTACTTTAGCTCACTGTTCATCCTTTTCCTGATCTGTAAAATGGAGCTTTTTCTCAGTTGTGGAGTTTCAATACTGTTAGTTAATATGTAGTAAATGTTAAATATTGTACATTATTATTGTATTCTATTTTTAACCCTTTAATATTTTGTGCCTAAATCAAAATTCAGGAAGAATTTATAAGATTTCCGTAGAAATGATTCCATCATTTAAGGAATATTTAGACATCAGCTTTATATTCTTACATGGGGCTGCAATCAGATTCATAGAACTATTACTCTGATTACTCTTTCTAGTTTTTTCCCTAGTAAATGTACATATACTATGATAATAGTAATAACTGGCATTTACTAATGTGTTACACACTGATTTTAGCATTTCATGTGTAGTAACTCACTTAACCCTTTCTACCACCCTGTGAAATGTAAGTATCTCTTACCACAAATGAGAAACCTGAAACAGAGACATTAAGGACTTTACCTTCATAAGCAACAGATGTGGTGTTTGAGATAACAACCCAGGCTTTTGTCCAATCAGAGACAGTGTAACAGATGATTAAAATCTAAATTGTGGACCTGCATTGCTTGTGTAAAGCTTGGCTGTAGCAATAAATAGTTATTAGATTCTGTGGGCAAGTTACTCAAATGGTCTATACCTCACTTTTCCTCTCTATAAAGTATTATTAAAATATCTCCCACAGTGAGAGTTTTTAAAGGATTGAACAACTAAACATACCTAAAGCACTTAGAATGGTGTCAGAAGAATCACTTATGGAAGGCTGACCCATGTGTGCTTCTTTTTTTCCTCATTGAGTTTATTGGTGCTTTTTAGGTATACAGTACAGTTAGTTACATTCATCATTGGGATCTTGTACCTTCACATGACAGGTCTTGGTTCTCATTTTTTCCTCATACCCCTGCCCTCCTTTCACCCCCCCCTTCCCTATTTATACAGTGAAATGATGTATGATCAAAGTATGTTTTATATATGTAGGTCTTTGCCAGAATGAAACTCATTAATCTGTATAACCAATAAAAACGTGGAAAAATCACTTCATAAGCATTTTTATACATTGTTAAAAATTGTAAATAGTGACTTAAATGGCTATCTATACTTCGTGAAAGTTATCATGAGTACCCAGCTGACTGCCAGAGAGGAGCTGGTTTGGCCAAGATAATAAGCAGGTTAGAGTTAGACCAGGAAGCCTAGGATCAAGATGAAGAGGGAGGACGGAGTTACACCAGAGCTGGAGATTAAAATACAAGCAAGCATAAAAAGCTTACGGTCTGACAGAACAGACCAACAGTACAAAATGAATCATGCCAGTGAGTCATTTTAGAGAAATAAGTGGTAATTGAAGGTAAAAGTGCCATTGAAAAGTAAAACATGGAAGACAGGAAGCAAAAATGAATTAAATAGAAAATTAGATTTAGGAATTTTCTAACTCATTGCTACAAGAGTGTACAGGCAGGTCAACCTATAGGTTGTAGCTGCCATTACTTTGTTGTTTTGTTTTGTTTTGT